TTTCTATGTCTGTCTATTCATCTTTCTGTTTGTTTCGATCTGCCTGTCTATCCATCTATACGTCTATTTCTCTGGTGTGTGTGTCTGTCTGTCTGTATCTATCTCCCTGTCTATCCATCTCTCTATCTGTATCGATATCCCTCTCTATCCATCTTTCTGTCTGGAACGATCTATCCATCAGTTCTTGAACTATCTGTTCTATCCATTTTATCTGCATCGATATGCCTGTCTATTCATCTCTCTTTCTATCTGCCTGTTTGTATATAATTATATAATTGTAGCCGCGGCATAACTGCTCATAGAATGGCTCCGAGTTTTTTGTTTTTTTTCAAGTACAAATTTTTAGGTCATAGTTCCGTCATCCCTTGACCGATTTCGGATCTAATTACAGTTTTCGACTCAAGAGGTCAAACCCTTTCGATTGATGTATTTGACCACATCAAAGGTCTCATAGATTAATTTACTCTAATCTTGCCTAAAAGTGCCGCGACTATTGAGGATTCCCTCTAGTTCAATAGATACAGATGTTCGTTCAATACTTACGTTCACAGCTTTAGATGCTGCTCTCCAGCGATCACTGTAGTCCGGATGTTTTTCAAGTGTTTGTGCTGCCACCTGGGAGAGAATACTTTCATACTGGGCCAGTCGTTCCAGCTATCAATATATATATATATATATTGGATACGTATTAGTATAAATCCTCGAGACACAAGTCAACAAACAAGATGACACACTCGTCAAATTAAAATACGTTTATTGACGGACACGAAAACAACGTTTCGGGCAACAGCTGTTCATCAGATTTCAAGTGAGGTAAAACGGACTTTTCTTACCACTTAATGTTGTTATAATTAACCGCTAGAGTAATTGGGTGTGCAAGGACAGGCTTGGAGGACCAAATGGTCCCTTGTTGTCCGTTTGTATAATTAACCGTTAGAGTAATTGGGTGTGCAAGGACAGGCTTGGAGGACCAAATGGTCCCTCGTTGTCCGGTTATTAAATTACTTAATGTTGTTATAATTAACCGCTAGAGTAATTGGGTGTGCAAGGACAGGCTTGGAGGACCAAATGGTTTCTTGTTGTCCGTTTGTTAAATCACTCAATGTTATTAGAACTAACCGGTTGAGTAATACACCAATATGTAATAAACAACTAAGCCTAAAAATCTAATGTACTTTTTTTATTTATTTTAAGTTTTTTTTCTGGTAATAAGGTTTAACACAAGGTAGATTCACACCGAACGCCCAGATTGTAAAGGTCTAAAGTAAGTGATAATTATGC